CCCCCCCACGTCTCTGCCTGGAGGTTGGGAAACTCCCCTGGGGTGGCTCATTTGTTCAGAGGTTGCTGAAACCTCTGTTCGGAATTAGCAAACTAGCCTCAGCTCATCTCCAAACCAGACCTCCTCCCCTTCAAGGCCCACCTCAGGCAACCCCACCCCCTGCAGGAGGCTTCCTGATTCTACCCTCACTCCCACTCCCCAGCAGAATGGCAGCTCCATTATTGGTTAGATTCAAGAACGCACCCCAAGAGAGGGCTTCCTAAGCACCTGTGGGCCAAGGGCTGCATAGGGTACAGAGAAGGAAAAACTTTTATTCTTGCCCTTAGGGAAAGCTGCCTGTCCTTGGGGAGATAGACTTTCAAATGCAGTCAGTAAAAGCTCTTAATCCAGAGGAGTGAAAACCAGGGCCAGGGTACCTGGGCAATTGTAGGGAAGGGTGGAGCCAGAGAGCTGGCAATGGAGGTTGGCAGACCCAGTGTCTGCTCTGGCTCTGCCCTTGCTCACTGTGACAAGTCATCGACCCCTAGACATCCGTTTCCTGTCTGTAGAAAGACCATCGGTCATTCTGAGCTCAGTTGCTTTGGGCCCGTGAGAGAGCCCCTGAGCCCTGTGGATGTGCCAGCTGACCTCCCTGTGGCTGGGCTCTGGGAACTCAGCCCATAGGGTGCCTGTGCTCTTCCAGGGGACAGACACCACCATGCTGCAAAAACTGAACAGTGTCCATGGCAACAACAAGGCCTTCCTGCAGCCCAGGAACATCCACGATGCCAGATTCGGCATTGCCCACTTTGCTGGTGAGGTGTACTACCAGGCAGAAGGTAGGTGCAGCTTCTCACTACACCCCCTTCCTCCAGATCTGGAGTGGGTTCCAGGAAGGCCACTGAAAGGAAGCTGAGACAGTTAAGTCATTTTGCAGAGCTAGCAGTGGGAAAGAGGGAATTGAATGGACCAGGCATGTTTTGTTTTGTTTGTAGTAGTTCTATTGAGATATAATTCACATACCATGCAATTCACCCATTTTAAGCACACAACTCAATGATTTTTAGTATCTGCATAGAGATGCATAACTGTTGCCACAATTTAAAACATCTTCATCACCCCAAGAAGAAACCTCCCATTAACATTTATTCCTCATTTACCCCCAACCCTTCCCTGCCCCCAGCAACCACTCATTTCTCTATGAATTTGCCTGTTCTGAGCATTTAATAAGAATGGAACCACACAACATGTGGTCTTCCTGACTGCCGTCTTTCACTGAGCACCATGTTTCCAAGGTTATGCATGTTGTGCCATGCGTAAGGACTTTGTGGTGTGTTTTTTTCCAAATATGTTTTTATTGATTTCAGAGAGAGGAAGGGAAAGGGAGAGAGAGAAACATCAATAATGAGAGTCGTTGATCAGCTGCCTCCTGCACACCCCCTACTAGAGATCAAGCCTGAAACCCGGGCATGTGCCCTGACTGGGAATCAAACCCTGACGTCCTGGTTCATAGGTAGACACTCAACCACTGAGCTACGCCGGCCAGGCAGGGCTTTGTTTCTTTATATTGCAGCATAATAGTCCACTGTGTGAATTGGTCACATTTTACTTATCCCTTCATCAGCTGATGGACATTTGAGCTGTTTCCACTTTTTGGCTATTTTGAACAATGCTGCTATGACCACTCATGTACAAGTTTTCAATGTGGACATATGTTTTCACTTCTTTGGGATATATACCTAGGAGAGGAATTGCTGGATCATATGGTTTAACTTTTTGTGTAACCACCAGGCTTTTTTTCCAGAATGGCCCCACATTTTACATCCCCCCCCACCAACGTATAAAGGTTCCAATTTCTCCAGGTCCTCGCCAACACATGCTATTGTCTGCATTTTTTATTATAGTCATTCTAGTGGGTTTAATGTAGTGTCTCAATGAGGTTTTGATTTGTGTTTCTGTGATATTTAATGACGTTGAGCATCTTTTCACGTACTTATTGGCCATCTGCATATCACCTTTGTAGAAATCTCCATTCACATCCTTTGCCCATATTTTAATTGGCTTGTCCTTTTATTGTTGTGTTGCAAGAGTTTTTTATGTATTCTGGATATAAGTACCTTATCAGATATATAATTGTAAATATTTTATTCTGTGGGTTATCTTTTCAGTTTCTTGATTGAAGCACAAAAGTGTTAATTTTTATGAAGTCCAACTTAACTATTTTTTTGTTGTTGCTCATGTTTTTGGTTTCATTACTTGGAAACCATTGTCCAACCCAAGATTTACCCCTGTGTTTTCTTTTAAGAGTTTTCTAATTTTAGCTTTTACATTTAGGTCTTCCATCCATTTTGAGTTAATTTTTGTATATGTTGAGATAGGGTTGAGCTTGGTTTTGACTGGAGAAACAAGGGCCTGGGGTGGCCAACCCTTTGGTGTGCTTAGAAAAGAGAGAAGATGGCCAGTGTGCTGCTATGGTCAGGAAAATGGGCAGGCAGCCATAGTGTCACTCTGTGGCTCATCTGGAGGAATGAGAATGTGTCCTGGTCTGTGGAATCAGCTGGAGAGACAAGGTGCACATGCTCACTGTCCTCATTCTAGCTCTGTGGGCTGCGTGCACCCCCAGGGCTCCTGCCGCAGTCCTCCTGCTCTCATAGGCTCCTTTCCCCTCTCCTACCTTCAACTCAGTCTCCCCAGGCCTCACACCAGGCTGTGCAGGTATGCACAAAGCACTCCACTAAAAGGTGAGGTGACTTACAACGGGCAGAGTGGGAGAGGAAAGTCGGGGTCCTGCTCATGCAGAGTTAATCCTCAGAGTCCCAGGAGCACAGCCCCTCAGTTGAACCTGGCCCTCCTCAGCCTGACTTGGAGAAACAGCCTCTTCAGCTCCTTTCCAGTGGGGTTTTGTCCTCCTTGCCCATGATGAGAGTGGAGGGTGGTGTCCTCTCTCTGGTTGGACCCATGCCTGTGTTGTTGCCTTGGGCTGCCATAACAAAGTTATGCAGATGGGTACAGGAATTTATTCCTCACAGACTGGAGGCTGAAAGTCCAAGATCAAGGTGTCAGGAGGGGTGGTTCCTCCTGAGGCCTCTCTCTTTGTTGATGGAAGTGTCTTCTGGCATCTTTTCTGTGTCTGTGTATCTGTGTCTTATTCTGCTCTTCTTACAGCACCAGTGCTATGGATTAGGACCCACCAGAATAGTTTCATTTCAACACCATCAGCTCCTTAATCACCTTTTATTTCCACATATAGTCACATTCTGAGGTACTAGGGGTTAAGACTTCAACATATGGGTTTTGGGAAGACACAACTAAACCCATAACATTGCCACTCCCCAATTTCTGGAGGCTCGGTCTTCAGACCCCTGGCCCTAGCAGAGCCTTCCAAGACTCCCAGAGTAGGGCTGGTGGAGGGACCTTGGGGCTCCCAGGCTCTCAGGGTCTCCTTAGTGAGTCACACATGTACTTGTTTCCTAAACATGTCTGCTAACAGGCACATATGCTCACACACACAAATGCTCTCTTTCACGCACACATGCAAATACACGCACACTGCCTGAGGGCACACATGCATTTTCAAGGCCTGTGCAGTGTAAACTTGTCCTGAGGAGGGAAATGACTTCCAAGGAGCTCACAGTCAGTAAGTCACCTGGACATCCTTGGAGCCAGGAAGCCAAGGGTGTTTGATTTCTTCCCTTCTTCCATTTTGGTCTTCCGGAAAAAGCAAAGTAGCTACCACCCCTTGCTGGTTTCCTGGGGGTTTTGAAGCTGCTGCTCCTGTACAGATTGGCCACACAGACTCTCCCAGAGCTGCCTCTGGCCTCCGGGCTGGGCCGAGGGCAGGAGCAGCGTGGCCTCTTCCCCAGATTGCCAGCTCCCTGGGCATTACCAGGCTGCCAAATTTTCAAAGATTTGCAGGGGGGTTGAGGGGGAGGTGTCTTCACTTTCTCCTTTCCCTTCTTTTCTTATTTTAGCTCATTTATGTAAATAAGTGGTTGCCTAAGTCAGACTTGCCCAAGGTCAGCCGGAAATGTTGTGGGTCAGAGCCCTGATGCAAGCTCAGGCCTCTCACTGTAGAGAATGTGAATGGCAGGGTGTGTGGATGTGCTGTCCGCCATGGCCAGTGGTCCATACCTGGTGCATTGGCAGTTAGGGGGTGGCTGTGACTAGGGAGAGGTGGAGGGGAGGGGACTAGCTCCTGTACATGGTAGTACCCCCCAGGCCTGCACCCAGGGAATGCTGAGGCTGGTGGAGGAGATGGCAAGTCCTCAGAGCATCCCTGAACTGAGCAAAGGGCCCAAGAGAAAGTTTGCCCAGGGAGAGGGGAAGCCCTGAGGAGAGCTCTTCACCTCACCTGTGGGCCAGGAAAGCCTCCTGGAAAAGATGGTGCTTGAGCTGGTCTTGAAAACCAAGCAAGAGTTGGCCTGAGTGGGTTGGGAGGAAATAGCATTCCCAGAACAGCTTGTGGAGGCCAGAGGCATTGGAGAAAGAAACCTTCTGGGGGTGACCAGGAGCCAGGAGGCACAGGGCCCTGGGGCCCGCAGGAGATGGGAAAGGGGTGGGGTTGGGATGCCAAGGCAATGTGCGTTTCAGGAAGGGTCCTCAAGGGCCTGGGGAATGTGTGGGACAGAGAGGCGGAGTAGGCAGAGAGGTAGGAGGCCATCAGAGGAGTTCAGACAGGAATGGCAGCCGCTTAGCCAAGGGGGTATGTAGTGGGATGGTGAGTTGTAGGGTGGGGGTTATCTGTCCACGTGTCCTGACTTGGTGCTGGGTGGAGAGAGTGGGTGCCGTGCCTGAGTGCAGGCATCTCTGTTGGCTGGACTGGGAGACCGAGGTAGGGATGGAGAGGATGACTTCAGAGGGGACTCCTGGAGCCTCCTGTGTGACCAGCTTCCCCTCCCCCCAGTGCTTCCCCTTCCCCTGTGGGTCACAGTGAAGCTGAGCTGGGGTGGTGGGCGGGCTCTGCTTTCCCCACAGGCTTCTTGGAGAAGAATCGAGACGTGATGAGCACAGATATCCTCAGCCTGGTCCACTCCTCCAAAAACAAGTTCCTGAGGGAAATCTTCAAGCTGGAGTCGGCAGACATGAGGCTGGGCCATGGAACTATCCTCCGGGGGAAGGCGGGGAGCCAGTTCCTCAAGGTGGGCTGTGGCTTCCCTTTCAGGGCCTCTCTGTCCTCAGGACCTTGGGCGTAGACAGGCATGTGCAGGGAGAGCCTGTCACCTGGGGTCTGGGTTTCTCAGTCGGGGCACAGAAGTGAGTGAACAGGAGTGTTGCTGTTGCCGGGTGGGCAGGCTTGAGGGACAGGTGCACAGGACGGTGCCCACCTCTGAGTGTGTGTTCCTGCTAGGGCACGTGTGCTTTTGCTAACATTGTCATGTGTCTATATTGGTCTGTGTGTGTGTTCGAAGTGCTATAAGTGTTGTGTGTGCATGGCTGTGTGTGGCATCTGTGGGGGTGTGTATGGTGCATGTGCTGTATGTGGTGTGCATGGGTGTGAGTGTGGGTGTATTTGTAGTGTTGCCAGCGAAAGTGATAGGCTCTTTTGCAGTGTCATGAGAAGAGAATTTCAAAGACACAGACGTGAAGTTTAAATGTGATGGAAAGATTTTATTAAGAGGAATTAATACACCCTCGGACGTATAGGGTGGACAGTCACTAAACACTTGCCAGGAGGCTTTTGTTAATCCTCCATATATCTTCTTGGTTCAGGTAAAGGGCAGAGCACCATTCGAACTAACCCAAGTTTCTAACTTCCCAGGCCTGGGCTGGGCCTTCCTCCCAGCAGATTCTGTTGGGGTTTTATGTCCTCTGTCCAATCCGGTTACCTTTCCAGTTGTTCCCAGGCTAGGCCCTGCCCCTCTGTTTCATCACCCTGACTCACTGTGCAGGTCCAAAAGTTCCATTACATCATGTAGTCCACTGCGCATGTGCCCAGCAGAGGGCAGCCTTTAGCGGCCTAGGGAGACTTTCCTGTCATCTGAGGATTAAGTTTCCTCTGTGGCAGTTTCCTGGAGTGTTTGTTTACCAGTAAACTAGCTGGCTGCTGCTGCCCTGCTACCTGCTTTGGCTTCCCAGTTTATTAAGATTATTTAGTCCCTTTTGCTTTCTTCCTCATATTAATAACTAGCTACCTACGCTGACAGTAGGAGATGGGAGTGTGTGGGGGGGTGTTGTTGCTTTTTGCTGATCATCACCCGAGGATATTATTTCCCTCAGTTTTCAGAGAGAGCGGAGGGATGTTAAGAGACAGAGAGAAAGAAACCTCGATGTGAGAGAGACACATTGATTGGTTGCCTCCCGCACCCCCTGGACCAGGGCCAGGGATTGAGCCTGCAACTGAGGTATGTGCCTTTGACTGGAATCGAACACAAGACCCTTCAGTCCTCGGTCCAATGCTCTAACCGCTGGGCCAAACCAGCCAGGGCTGTGTGTGTTTTGAGTGGTATGTGTAGTATATTGCATGGTGCATGTATGTGTGCATGTGGTATGTATGTGGTATGTGAGTGGTATATTTGGCATGTATGTGACTGATATGTGGGTGTTGTGTTTGTGTGGTGTGTGTATGGCATATGTGTATTTTTGCTACCAGAAACAGAACTTGACCCTGAGCCAAGGGCCAGACCGTAGTGTATGGTTCTTGACTTCGTGCAGGAAAAATTTCGCAACACGAGTCCAGGTGACTATGAGGGAACGTTTATTAAAGCTGAGGACAGTAATACAAGAAAGGGCTTATCACAGAAGAAGCAACAGGAGAGCCTAGGCTGGGCTGCCTGAGGTCTCTGGGAAGTCAGAGGAAAGGGGCCTTGGGGACAGGCTCAGGGGATTAGCCTGGGACGAGCTGCCTCTGCCCACTGCTGCCCTGGCTGCAGGTCTCGTGGGGTCCTTTACAGTTTAGGAGATGCCTGCCTGTGGGGGAAGAAGTGGGGAAAGGAGAGGGGGAAGGGAATGGCGGGGCTGCTCCCCAGAGGGAGAGCATGCGCTGGGTCCTTTGTCTTGAGGCTTTTCTCTCTCTTGGAGGCAGGAATCTTAGGGGACCTTAGGGAAGGTCTCAGGGGAGGGTTTCAGCAGAATATTCCTCAGTTTTTCCAGGTGTGCTCCTTGAGGGTCCTGGTCTCCACTGATTGGTCAGCGTCAGGGCAGGGGGTTGTCAGTCATTGCAGCTGGTCCTGGTGTTGCCCACCTGGTTTTGCTGCTTTTCTGGGTCTGGAGCTGAAATACAACTGAGGCCTAGATGTTATCTCTAGGGAGGCGACCTTCTGTATCTGCTGTAAATTGCTTGGCCAATTTGCTCAGCTGTCTCGGTTTCCCTTTCCTCTAGCCCTGGTGAAACTGGACACAGTGGGTCCGGGCTGCCTGTTGCCACTTGAGCCACTTAAGCAGAGACAAGGTTGAATCATATATGAGCATTTATTCCAATAATGCCAGCAGTATGGGAGAGCAGCAGGATCCATCCACATAAAATCTGCTCCACCCCTCCCCATAAGCCAGCTGCTTATATTGGGTAGAAGGAGAAAGATTACAGGGGGAAGTGGGCAAAAGGAATAAGTGGGAATAATGGTTACAGGTTACAGGTTACAGGAAATTTGGGCTGAGAGTTGCCAAGGGCAGGCCCCTCCTGGACTCCATTGTTTCCAGAGCAAGGTTATCTTTCCATGAGAAAAAGAGAATGAACAGCACTCCAAGGTCAACTCCCATTTCTGGGGGAAACAACTCCCAGCCAGGTTTGAAAGTGGTTTTTCTACTCAGAACAATCACAGTTAACACAGCATGATTAATATTTCTTACAACTGTAGCTAAAAATCATGGTTAATAGAGCATGATTAATATTTCTGCCCCTAACACTGGCTTACTGACCTGTCTCTTTTTGTGTGGTGTGTGTGTGTATTATGTGTGTGTGTTTTGTGGTGTGTGGTATGTCTGTGTGTCTCTGTGTGTATGGGGTGTGTGTGGGGTGTGTTGTGTGTGTGTGTGGGGGGGGTGGGAGGTGGGCCACAGAGAGCCCCTGATGCTCCTTAGGACAGCCTAGGATTTCCTGGCAGGGTAGGGGTCTGCCTACCCACTGCCCCCTCATAACACCCTCTCTCATGCCTCCACCCCTTAACCGTGACTGTTCCAGAAAATCCCTGTGAATTTTTTGATGAGGAGCCCCACCCCCACCCAGGATGTTGAGCCATCTGAATAGCTGAGGAGTTGAGAGAGCAAAGCGTCTCCCTCTCTCCATGCCACAAATTCAGCACTGACCACACTAAAGTGTCCTTGGCCTTTATAGCTCCCAGCCCCCTCTGCAGGAGCTCCTGAGGCCTCCAGGCGCATGGCTATGTGCAGGGCAGGTACAGAGAGGCACCCAGGAGCCCTGGGCTGTGCAGGAGTCACCCTGGTCTGAAACCAGGTGTAATCAGGCCCGACTCTGCAGCTGAGGCCAGAGCACAGCCTCGTCTTGGCCCTGCAGATATCCAGAGCATGACTTGTAAGTTCAGGGAGCAGGATGGCAGTGGAGGAAATGCATATTGTTTTACAAACCAGGACAAGAGGAAAGTGCTGCCCATTGTTATTAAAAAGCCCAGTGATTACATCCTCTCCTCAGGGGTGTCAAGATGTGAAGACCTTTGTGTTTCCAGACAGGTGCAATCTGGCAGCACACATCTTTGCTCAGGTGCATTTGGCTTTGGGAAGGCTTGTTCAAGGAGCATTGCCCAAGATTAGTATTGCACGAAACAAACACAGCTCATGGCAAGGGGCTTGGGCTTTTGCCCCCTCCTTGCATCCATAAGTTAATACATTTATTTTAGAACGATGTACATTTACTATAATGCATACAATGTATAATATAAAACATTAAAAAATATGTTTAATATAAAACATTAAAACCTAGACAAAAACTGGAAATGTAGAAGGGAGAGTGAAAAAGTGAATGTTCCCAGTTCTAACACCCTCTTCTCACCCTGTTCCATTGTCTTGTGCATCCCACTTGGGGGAACCCCAACTCCAGACAGGAAGCAGTTGCCCCATCTTACTCCCCTCTCGGTCCCCATTATCCAATGGGGGACCTGCAAACAGTAGGCACATGGGGAACCTGTGATGGTTGAATGAGTGCACCCCAACCACCTGAGGGACGTTGGCAGAAACCCTGACTCTGCTGTGGTCAACTGTGCCCCAGGCAGTACCCCCCAAACACCCACTTGGATCTTGTGCTTCTGCCCACAGTCTGCAGACTCCAGCAGGCGGCCCGCCACCTTGGCAGGCCAGTTCAAGCAGTCCCTGGACCAGCTGATGAAAATCCTGACTAACTGCCAGCCCTATTTCATCCGCTGCATCAAACCCAATGAGTACAAGAAGCCTCTGGTAATGAGGGGAGGCTGGGCACACAGGAGGGGAGTGGGGGACAGCTGCTGGCTGAGTCTGACGGCATCTAGGGTCCTGTCGTCCTTTTCACCAGGGCCTGGACAGTATTAGAGCTGTTATCGGCCCCCATTTTATAGGCAGGACACTGAGGTAAGGTGGCTAGTCCAGGCCATTCTCAGATCAGTGACCTTCAGGGCTTAGGTCACCCAGACCTTAGTAGTCTTAGCCCTGCCATCTGCGTGCTGTGTGCACTTGGCCAGGTGCTTCCCTTCTCGAGTCTTTTCTATCAAGTTAGAATGACATCTGCCTGCAGGAGGCTGCAAGGATTGTACTTGAGGCTTCTGGCACATCTGCATATGTAAACTGCGCTCAGTTAGGGCCACAACTAGTACTAGGGTTTCAGAGGTTGAGGACCACTCCTGGTTGCCCTTGGAAAGCGTCTTTATCTGCTTCTGTGTGGTGTGGTGTGGGGTTGGAACCTGCTTCCTGCCTAGGAGCCCTTGACCATGAGCTTGGGAATTCTCCCCAGAGGCTGCAAATACAGGACTCCCAAAACCAGGAGATGCCATCTGAAAGGAAATAAAATGACCCCCTAAAAAATCTTACAAGGGAAAAATATTAAATAAAGAGACTTTTTGAAAAGAAGAAAATTATATGAAATTGAGGCTGTCCCAGGCTATCCAGAATGCATCTTCCAGATAGGCACAGTATTCCAACGTTAGGTGAGAGCTGTGCTCCAAGAGGCCCTCTGCCCACACCCCCTCTCTACCTTAGGAGCGAGACAGGTGCAAGGGGCCTGAGGCTGGTGCTCAGATCCTCACAGGTGGTAGCTGCTGTGTGGGTGTAGGGGTCAGGCAGGCTCCGTTCTGTACTCTAGCTCAGCTACTTAGGAGTGGCCTCAGGCACCTCATCTTGAAATTGGAGCTAAGTGCCCCACCACACAGGGCTGTTGTAAAGATTAAATGAGAAATAGTAAATAAATGGGGGCTAACTAGTTGCCCCAGACTAACTTCTGTGGCCTTGGACCCCACAAGCCATTGCTCTGTGTTTCCAGGTAGGTAATGGCTGCTGATGGCTTCTCAGGTTGGAGGGTTGCCCCTAGCCCCCAAGACTCCTGGTGACTTAAAGGTTGAGGGCAGGGGTCTCTAGAGGACACCCCATGCAAAGTCTCAGGGTATCTGCAAATAACTGCACATCCCGAGCAGGAGGGAAATATTCAGCGGTGTTGCAGGTGCCACAGTTTCCGTTACCGACTTGATATCCTCGCAAACACTTTAAGGACTCTTCAGCGACTCTGACCAAATATTTCTCTTCAAAAGGGAGCTCTAATGAAAGCGAGCCCGTTTCCCAGCGTCCCGTCTTTGGGGTGGTTGCAGGGTGGGAGGGCGGCCGTGTGAGCCCGTCGCCTGCCCGCAGCTCTTCGACCGCAGGCTGTGCCTGCAGCAGCTGCGCTACTCGGGCATGATGGAGACCGTGCGCATCCGCAAGTCGGGCTTCCCGCTCCGCTACACCTTCCAGCAGTTCTCCCAGCGCTTCGGCCTCCTGCTGCCCAGCGCCGCCCGCCTGCCGGTGAGTGCCCGGCGCCCTGGCCCGCGGGCGGTGCCCCGCATCCTGGGAACCGCGGCTGTGGGCTCCCCCAGGACCCCAGGTCCAAGAGGTCCCTGCGGCTGCCCCTCTGATGCCCAGGGCCCCTCCCTGGGCCCCAGACTTTGAAATGAGTGTGCTCGTCTTCCCTTCGTCACCTCCTCACTTCCCCTTCTGGAGTGAGGAAGGGGCTGGCTCACACTGGGCTCCGGAAGGCTGGTGGCTGCACCAGTTCTTTCTGTGAGCGTCTGCAGTTTGAAGCAAGCACTTGTATGTGGCAGGATGTGGGGGAGATGCTGTGTGGCTGGGGGGCAGGAAGTCCTCTGTATCCTTCCTCAACATTCAGCTCTCCTTTGGGATGCCCAGGTGTCCAGCGGCCACGTGGAGGTCCCAGGCCCTGCAAAGTGTGGTGGCTCATGATCCCAGAGCCTGAGTGCTCCTCTGGGCTCCAGACCTGATCTCAGGTGCCCTGCGCCTGTGCCCCGCCCAGCAGCCCCTGACTGGGAAGCCTGCAGGAGGAGGAAGACTCAGATCCCCAGGAAGCCCTTGAGGAGGGACCCTAAGCCTCCTGCCCATCCCGCTTTAGCTCCACCCAGCCACTCCTGTTTCTCTTTGGCAGCTTCGGGACAAGTTTCGACAGATGACACTGTGCATCGCTGAAAGGTGCCTGGGAACAGACAAAGAATGGAAAATGGGAAAGACCAAAATTTTCCTGAAGGTGAGACCCTGAACATGCCGGCCTCAGCCTCCTGAAGCATGTGGGGCCAGACTGGTGCTCCCTGGAGGCACTGGCTCTGAGTGTGGCCCCCACTCGGAGGCACCGAGCTGTTGTAGAAAGCAGTGCTGGGGGTAAGGGAGGTAGGGGAGTGTGGAGAGAGCCCAGCCCAGCCTGAAGAGGTTCGGGAGGCTTCTCGGGACATCCATGGCAAGGCCTACGGATGAGGAAGGGCTGCCTCCAAAACACTGGGCAGAGTAAGAAGGTGCTCAGGGCAGGCTCCCGCTGTCTCCAGAACAGGCCTTCACTAGGCATGAGCCACAGTCCACCTTAGGGAGCTTTGTCTGGCCTGGGGACGCTCTGCCTCTAGTGAGCCCCCGAGAACTGGCACTTCAGTGTGTTGGCCCTTCACCTATTAGAGCAGGGGTGGGGAACCTTTTTTCTGCTAAGGGCCATTTGGATATTTATAATGTAATTCGGAGGCCATACAAAATTATCAGCTTAAAAATTAGCTATGAAAAAAGCTCCTAGATTTATTGAACTTTGAATCCCCCCTGGGGTTGTCATGGCAGGGCCAGACCAAAGGATTTCACAGGCACATGCAGCCCACGGGCTGGACGTTCCCCACCCGCTTAGAGCTTGTTCTTAGGCAGGTGTGTGCAGGCCACCCACCTCCCACCTGCCTCCTTCCCGACTCACTGGGAGGCCTGACGTCGCACAGAGGCAGCCTCGTGGTTCTATGGCCTTCAGGCCCTCTAGGATTGCCCGTTGGGTCAAAGAGCCACTGGGGAGAAAACCTCCCTGCCCCCTATGCTTGTAAGCCCTGGATGGGGGAGCAAACCCAGAAGGAGGAGGGAGAGCAGGTGAGGAGGACATCCTGTAGCCATCCAAGCACCCTCCCATCCCTGCCACCCTTCCCTGCACCCTCTACTGCCTCCCCTTTCCCCATAGAGCCCCCCTCATCCATCCCCAGAGGGACCTCCCCACCCACCCGCTGGCCAGCCCATTTATCAGTCAGACCTGTGCTAGGGCTTGGGGCTCAGACCTGAAGAAAGAAGCAGAGTGGCTTCAGATTCCCTTGGGAAGGGGAAGCTGGCAGAGGAAAGGCATCTGCCCTGGAGGGTGAGACATAGGGGTACAGGGGGGTATATAGTGTGGGTGGATGGTTGAAGGGGGCAGGAGAGTGCCTTCCCCTCCATTTTTCTTCCTCCCTGGTTGCTCCTTGAAGCAACAGTCCAGGCCTAGTCCATCTGTTTCCCCAGTGCCCACCCAGGCACACCAAGAGGCTCAATGCTTGCTTCATACAAGGCTCATGAAGGCAGGAGGGGACTCCGAGCCCTGGCCTCTCCTCACCATGTGTCAAAGGCTCTGCTGCTGTCTGTTCTACAAAGACAGGCCCTGCCCCCCAGGGGTCAGGATGGCAAGCCTAGGGCGCAGGGACCAGGGGAGCAGGGCAGTGAGCCAGGGGAAGTCGCAGCCCAGGGATGACTCTCACACCGAATCCTGCTCAAAGGCTGAAGGGAACATTTTTCCACTGAAACTAGCAAGAGTCCATAATACAGCTCAATGCACAGTTCACATGAATTTGGGGAAATAGACAACTTCTGGGAGAATTCTGCCCCCGTCTTGGATTCTCCAGAGCAGCAATGAAATTTGCCAGATTGAATAAGAAGAAGCTGGAATGGGAAGTTCTTGAGTTGGGGCTGGGGCTATAGGTGCAGCTCCCATCTGAGCCACAGGAAGGTCAATTGGAAGGCCCCTGCCCCTGCGTGGCCTCCCAGGAACACATTTGGGAAAAGTCTGAGAAATCCTGACTTCTGGAGACAGAGCCCTGGCCCCAGGTGGAGATGTGGGGTGGAGGGGGCAACTACTTGATGAGATCTCTCCTGTTCCAGGATAGTCAGGACACTCTGCTGGAGGTACAGAGGAGCCAGGCCCTGGAAAAAGCAGCGATTAGCATCCAGAGAGTCCTGCGGGGCTACAAATACAGGTGCCAGCCCTGCCCCACCCCAAGCCTACACACCTGCCCATCATGTGCCCTGGGGAGACCTGCAGCCCCCAGACCAGGGACACGTGTTCCTGCTGGCCTCTCCCTGGGGATAACTGAGTCACAAGTTCTCTCAGAACCTCCTGACCAGGGACACTGCAGCCTGTGTTGGCCAGAAAATTCTAATGCATTATTTGAATGCTTGTTTGGGGGGGGGG